CTTGCTTGCTTGCTTGCTTGCTTGCTTGCTTGCTTGCTTGCTTGCTTATTTACTTACTTGCTTACTTGCCTACCTACTTACCTACCTACCTACTTACTTACATATTTACTTGGCTTAACTTAACTTAATTACCTACTTACATATTTACTGACTTCCTTACTTACTTACGGCATACTTCCTTCCTTCCTTACTTAATTACTTATACTTTCTTCCTTGTTTCCGTACTCGCTTACTTACTTACTTATACTTGCTTCCTTGCTTGCTTACATACTTACTGCTTACTTTCCTTTTTTTACCTCTTTCATTCTTTCTTTTTTTATTTCTTTATTTATTTATTTATTTCTGTAGTTACTTACTTACTCTGACTTACTTATACTTATACTTGCTTGCTTGCTTCCTTGCTTACTTACTTGCTTACTTGCTTACTTACTTACTTACTTACATACTTACATGCTTACATACATACTTAATTGCTTACTTCCTTCCTTACTTACTTACTTACTTACCTACCTACTTGCTTACCTACTTATCTACTTGCCTATTTACCTACTTACTTACCCACCTACTTACTTACTTCCTTGCTTAGTTACTTACTTACTTACTTACTTACCAACTTTTCTTGCTTGCTTGCTTGCTTGCTTACTTACTCACTTACTTCTTTACTTTACTTTACTTAGGTTAACCTAACTTAACTTGACTTCACTATCCACTTACTTGCCTACTTATTTCATGACTGATGGCAGTGTGCGCTTTGAAGGTCTTGGAACCTGGGTGCTAATCACGTCTACGCCGACAAAAAGTCGGGAAAACTCTAGGGTGCCGCCGCCGCCCACAAAAGTTTTGGCAATCCAGGGATTTGTTCATTTATCTGACCAACAAACCATCATACGGAACTCAAAAAGGAACAACCCGTGTACTTTTGGTTTGCTGCTTTGGTTCGTTGGTGGATGATATTGGTCAACGGTCCTCTTTCCCGAACCGTCAGGCACAATCCTATTGTTCTTGCAACAAGACTCGTGCTTGTGATTTACCAAAGGTTCAGATTACAGTGTATCCAACAAGTTCTTTGGTCTTTAGCTTGAACGCGTTTTCTTGGTTTCCAACAAAAGTTGTGGTGATCACAGAAACTGTTTGAGACCCATTCGTTGTGCATTCCTTGCATATGTCCTTAGCATGTGGCCAGGCGAGCGCTGAGCCACTTGCACCTGCAACTCTCTGAGCGAGACTTGAAGTTAATATGGAACCGCTATGCGCCACATGGTCATGCCCCAAGCAACACCAAGCTTTGATTTCTGATGCAAATCAACTTTGCTTTGGCCACTAATGAAGCTGCACTTTGAAGACAATCGGTTTTTGCAGCGTTGGCTCGGCGGAAGGTCTTGATGTGGTTTGATTTATTGATCTTACTTCAGCAAACACATCCCATTAAACTCTGACAATGATAGACAATTTTCTGCATATCAAATCTACTTGCTTACGCAAAAAGAGACACAAATGCAAGTGATTTGTTGCCAAACTTCTTGGTCCGATGACCGCTGCGGCAGAGCTAGTTGTGCCAGACATATTGGTGGGACTTGACACATCCAACCTCAGAGGCGATCCCTCCTTCGTTGGAGTTGAATTCCGGACTGGAAGTTGTCACGAAAGGTAGCTTCAGCTACCTGAGTTCTCCTTGCTTTAGCAACAATGTATTACAATCAGGATTTGGGATTATGCATTGAGTATTCTGTTGGACAGGGGGTGGCCCCCTACGCCGTCGCTGTTTGGGTCACATCCATCCACCTTTGACGCCGTCATGCACTTCTACCAGGGTTACTTGTGATTGCCTGCTACCTTTCGTTCACCCCCCCTCTCTCAAGTTTGTCTATGAGTTTTTCGACATGTCGTAGAGTCGTAGATATTTGTGAATGTATGTGCAGTGCCCTGCAGGTCTTTTGGAGGCGATTCTGGCTCGACTTAGACAGGCTGAACTACAGCTGACACAAAGAGAATTTGAAGTCCAAGACCTGCAGGAACGCGAGGCAAGGTTGAGAACATCTCACGAAGATTAAATCTAGGCACATGAATCTTGCGCATGTCCACTTTATTTGGTCCATGATTTTTACTGGAATGCGGGCATTGTAGGCTGCATGTTTTCCATTCAAAGCAGAATATTCAAGTCGCTTCGCGATGACAACCCACCTGCATCAGTTGTTCTGAGACACAGCGCGAGGAAGACATTTTCTACTCCATGCCCAATCCAAAACCTAGATGATTCTTAAACGAGCTGATGACTCTATTTTTCGACCCCCTGAAATTGTACATTTTCAAGCTGGTCCAAAACTTACATATTCAATTACTGACTGCAATTTGCAATATGGTATTTGCTATATAGCATTTATATTCGTTCACTGCATTGTGTCGCATTGTGGTAGCATTCGATTGAATTGGATTCTACTGCATGATATTGTATTGTCTGTATGTAGTGTAATTGCTCAGTTTTTCGACCCCGTTAAAATCAATGCATGCAACTTGCGACTTGCTATTCTTATACAATCGATCATACAATCTCCAACCTGATTTACCACACCGTGATGCACTTGCATCATTTGCATCACCACATCAATGAAGGATAATTTCTTATTGCAAGCGTAGCACTCATGCCCTTTACCTTGCATCTCCAGTGTTTCGATTATTGTGCTTTTTGTCCAACCACCACTGACCGCTTCCCCTCCAGACTCACCTCACGATGCCGGATATGCAATTCTGTTCCCAGCTAAAGCTCAGCGATAAATGCACCGCAACTCAATCACGCCCCAGAGCACCTTCAGTGCAGATGTTTTGATTCAGCTGAACGTGTGACTGTCCTTTTCTTGCGCCAGTCTCCGATTCGCGAAAGACAACAGTTTGGGTTCCAGCGAAGTCCATGGCTCTTTTCTTTCAAGCTTTCACTCTTCAGGGAACAAGCCAGGGGTCTTTTACTGTCGATCTTATGCTCCACGCATCGCTGAAAACCAGCCAGTATCTTTCGCCATGATCGGATTGTCCGACAGAGACTGCGACCGATGATATGTCAGAACCCTGACACACTGCATGCCTTGGCATCCCTTCCGGAACTGCAGAACGCATAAGAAGAAGAATAAGAAGAAGAAGAAGAAGAAGGCAAACCAACTTTGCAAACTGGGAGAACTAACTCATTTGTACATACATTGTGCAAACATTGAACGTCTGGAAACAACACACCTTGGAGAGCAAACTGTTGCAAGAGCATGCTTCGTTTTCTAACCAAGTTCTTGTGTTCTTAAACTTTCGCTTGGAATCTCTCTTTTTGCACAGGTCGATTTGAGCTCTCGGCTCACAAAGTTGGAGGAAGCCTTTGCGGAAGAGATGGATGACGGACCTGCACTCCCTTCGGCCACAGTGGCTTCAGCAACCTCGCTGACCTCACTGCAATCCCCCACATCACCAAGAACACCAGGAGGTCGGCGACTTAACGAGTTTTGGAGGCTTTAACCCTTTTGTTACCACGGACCCAAGAGACGTTTGGAGCGAGGGTCATGAAGTAGAGGCAATTCGCCTCAGGTCGTTTGTGCATTTTTGTAGCTACACTGACGAAACACAGCCATTGAGAGTAGGGAAAGATCCGATCCGGTGATGGTGTAACAGCGAATCCACTAGCTGACAAGGAAACGGGTGGCCAAACGAGCGCTCAAAAAGCCAGTTTGGTTAAGCGAAATCATGAAGTCTAGCCGGCAGTGCACCATTCTTTTGGGCTGTTTGGCCCATGATGCTGAGGTGCTTTTGGGATCTTGATAGATGGACGGTTGAAGAGGTAGGTTTAAGGTGACTGCCACTACAAACTGGCTATAGCTACGTTTACAGTTGAGCCACGTGAATGATCAAACCAGCTCTGCCTTGAGCATGCGTTGAGCCAGTTGCGCGGGCGGTCAGTTGGTCACCCAATCAAGAAGTGGAAAGCTATGTGAGTCTCTAAAAACTAGGTGACAAGGCGACAAACTTGGTCGAACACCATTCTGCTAAGCGAAACCCTCGGTGGCCAAGTTGATCAAGAAACATGTTTTCCGAAAGGTGCTTTGCTGAGCGAAGCAAAAATCGTTGAGCAACAAGTTTTTGCTGCCTGTAACAGGAGGCCTAACACGTGGCAAATCAAAACGCATCTTGGACGCACATTCACCAAGCTTTGGGGGAGCTAGCGAAATTGTTTTACTGTAGATCCGGATCAGCGTGCTTTTCGAAGAGCCATTTTGGACACATTGAGGATCTAAACCTACTTCGCATGGCATTACTTTTTGGATGAGGGGTCCTCGCTACCAAGGCTTTCTGGATTGGGAGATCCGCATGGACGACCTTGAGAAAATGATCCACTTTTGTGAAGCTTGTTCTTTGTAAAGCTTGCAATCTTATCCAGACCCTCCAGACCATTTGCAAGCTGCACAGTTTGTTGTATCCGCACCAGCAGTAACTGCCAACAGTTTGCGAGTTGTGAATCCTTGGGGTGACCAATTGCTTGTTATTCCAATTCGTTTTGCGATTTCTCTGCAGTGGATCTGCGTCAAGGCTGCAGAAAGAAATGCAAGTTTCCACGCAAAACTAGAAAGCAAATCCTGGCACCTAGTACTACACTACTAGCAGCCTACCCACCCAAGGAAAGAACAGAAGGGCAGACACACACACACACATACACGCACAAACTCACATCCTTTTCCACCTCCTCCAGAAAAAATCACAAAGTCAGGTCTTTCACCACTGCACCTCTCATGGCACCCCGCTCTCAAAAAAGGGGTGTTTGTTCCTTTTCTGAGTCGTTGTCTCTCGGGTTGGTTTCCTTCCGCCCAAGGAAGGCAAGCAAAAGACTGTGAACGAGTTGGTGGAACAGTTGCGAGACGAGCCTAGCTTCAAACTGTTCGCTACGCCGCGACGTGTGAAGTGGAGCGCCACTAGCCCTCCCGCATTGTCAAGCCAAGGACTCTGCAAGAAGAGAGCACATGGTCAAGTCCTTCGACATACAACTCAGGGCCTTTTGGCGTATTGGAGAGCTGGCTATGTCCAGATTCGGCAAGTGCGAACGCATCCAAAATCACATGAGATTATATTTGTTTTTTTCGATCCGCTTCAGGATTTGCGCAGCAGCACACACGAGCAGATGGACGAGCTTTTGGCAGAAATGAAACGGATTACTGAGGTTGCTCGAAAAGAAAAGAAACAGACTGCTTATAAGTAGGATGGCTTCTGTAGTGTTGCTGGCTAACTGTATGATCAGCCATGCTGCCACAAGCTTCTGAGGGTTCTTTGCCGGATCATTTGATTGTTCTCAGGCTACCAGTGAATACACAGATGACATCCAAAATTTGTCTCTGGGCTCGCAAAATGGAGTTGTATAATGACCCCGGGCCTTGGAGTTTAAAGGAGGTGGCCATGAGGTCCAGGATCTGCTTAAAACATATAATATGGTAAGAGTGCGACCGATACCGATCTCTGGCCCAAAAATCTGTGGACATATTCAGTCACAAAAGTGATAACAAGACGATAACCAAAGCGATAACCTTTTGTTAACAAAACGTCTCACCTGAGCAGCTGTCCATTTCCAAGTCAACATATAGTTTTACTGCAGAGAACCGTTTTACTGTTTTACTGAAGTTGAGTTCTTCTTCAAATTCTTCTTCGAGTTCACCGACCACCTGAGAGAAGATGTTTGCTGTGTGTGTGTGTGCGCGCGCGCTCCAAAACCTTGTAAAATGATAAGAGCAATCACAACAGAGATAACGTGTTTCGGGAACCAGCGACAGTATCCGGGGTTTTAATACAAATTTTGACGTGAAGCTGCAGGAAAGTGAAGCTGCAGGCGGCGCAGAACCTTCTGGACCGAATTGACATGGCCGCCTTCCGCCAGGAACTCGATGACGTGGCGAAGAGATTGGAAACCAGGTGGGGCTGCCCTTGCATAGTAAGTAATCTTATAGAATCACTTAATTTATCTTAATTTCATATGTTTGTAAATTTGTCGTTTGTTGCAAGTTGCAAGAAATATCGCCAGCAACTCAACGTCCAGGCTTGCTGGCCGTGTTGAAACTGTCTCAGCTGATTCCAAACGTGAGCTGGAGCGTAATCGACTGGATCTTGAAAAAGCTATCAGCCGCTGCAGATCACAGTGCCTCGTCACTTCCCGGTTTTGAACAAGGTGTGTAAGAAACTATTGTACAAACGAAGAGAATGGTGCCCGTGGCTTGTAGGCAGCCGTCATCGGTTTGAAGCAGGGGGTGGGCATAGAGCGTGGTTCGAGTCTAATCTAGCTGAACATCCTAGCTTCCAGGCTTTGACTAAACTAAACTATACATTGCGTTCTGTTTGCAGGTAGGATTTTAGGCAAAGATATGGTCCGATGAGGATATTGCTGTAGACATTGTATAAGTGCAGAACATGTTCTGTTTTAACTTCCCAGAAATGGCTAGACCGACTCTTTGGCTGGAGATGGTTTTCTGGTCAGGCCAGAAACACCTTGTTCTTCCCGACCTAGTACCTAGCTCCAACCAATAATTGCTCCGATCGATTATCACACATGAGGGTTATGATCTCAATGGCTTGTTTGGCGGGTGTTTGGGAACGGTGCCCCCAAGGCACGTGTTTTGCAGGCCTTGCTGTGCAGACTGGAGGAACTGCCAATTACCCCGATAGCTGCTGTCCACAGCCAGCCCGGTGGCGTGAGACCCTGCGTCTTTTGACAGGGGATGTAGAAAACAAAGTGGAGCATGTGGCATGTGCCCGCACTTGTTTGTTTTGGCATGCTTCAAGAAAAACTGTGCAGTCCAAGGCTGAATGATTTGGTGGAGGGTGCATTGGAGAATCTTCGGTACAGTTTGGGGCAAAAAGTTCTCATGCTCAATCCTGAAGAAGGGGTGGCCGCGGGCACCTCCAAACACTGCATCTCTTGCTTCAAAGATCGCTCGCAGTCACCTGTACGAGGTTCGGTTGGAGATTTGGTTGCAACGAGAATGATTTGTGGGACCGCAGATCGCTTCAGAAGCTTTTGCAAAAGCACAGCTTTTGCTCAGCTTTGCTGTGTTTCGCTGACTGTGTTTCTGAGGAAGCGACGGCCATCTCTACCCACATCCAGCCGAACCTGCAGCTATCCCAGAGGAAGGCAGCCCTGAGCAGCGAAACTCACCACTTATTAGCGCCTTGGAGCTTGAACATGTGGAGCAAAACCCAGCTGCAACAGATCCAGATTATATCCAACATAACCTTAGCATAACACAACCATAGCCCATAGCAGTGCATGTGATGGAGCGATCTTCTTGAACACGGATGCAAAGTTAAAGGCAATTCTTACATACTTTTTTCTCACCTATTGTACTTGCAACTTTGTCAATGGAGATTGAGAGCCTCATTTTCAGGTACGCTCCTGGCCACCCGCGAGTAGCTTGTCCAATGGTGCATGAGGGTTTCAATACTTTGGTTGACGCTCTTTTCTTCAGCTTAGTGCACGGACAGCCGCATCGTAGTTTGCAAATCCGATCAGCCTAGCGGAGGGTGACAAGATTGAGTCTTTGACCCAAGGAAGGTCCTGTTTGTTCGGTCTGCAATTCCAACTCTATTGGATTCTATTCACTCACCTTCCATCCTTGCGGACGCACCAAGGAGAGCGCGTCCATTGCGGCCAGTGTCAGCACGAGGCTAGAATGGGGCTGCACACGGGGGAAGGAGGGGCTTCTTGAAAACAACTTTCTAATTTGGGCCTGAGCAACCGACAAGACTATGCGCATAAAATGTAGTTAAGGGAGGGACATTGGACAGCCAAGGTTTGGGCAAAAGGCAAAAACTGATAGGGGACGACCAAGGAGCCGATACCCTCCCAATGACCAGCTGACAGTATGTAAAATGTGTATAAGCAGATGTGGGGTGGGACAATGCAACCAAATTTTGAGGATGTGTGTGGGACACAGAATTAATTTTGTGCAGCACCAGGTGTGTGATTACAGGAAGATGGTCAGAGTAACATGTTTCTTGCGAGACGGTGTAGTCATAGTCTTTGGCCAGGTCGGAAGCCCGAGAGATATGCAGCTCAGATGCATAAATGTTGCAACGATTTCTATGATCACGAGGTGCCTGGCGAAGGTACCCTGCAACTTCAGACGTGGATCTTTCTTTTTCTCAGATATTTTTCCTCCAGTAAGATCCTGTAGAGGGATACAGTAATAGTTTGGTGTATTCTGCATCCAATCACATGACAAAATGCTCTTCCAAGGACACGGTGCTTGATAGTTATTCCCGCATGTTGGCTCGGGCCAATGAGAAGACCTTGGGCAAACTGGTAGGAGTTGCTCAATGAAATAGGTATTGGCAACATAGGCCAAAATGACCAAAGGTGTCAAATCCATCAGGTCCATTTAGATCTTGAGTCGACCATCTATCCATGACCACAGCGAAAAAGAAGTGCGAATGGATATATAATATAAACAGCGGTGCGGTTCCTTTACCCTTTTAGGTTCGTTGATGTTTGGGATCTGATGGCTTCTTACGTAAGACTTCCCCTGTACATAAGCCTAGTGGGCTCCTTCAAATCACTTCAGTGCAGAAAATCTGCCTGGGGATGAGGCTACGGATTACGTCTGAGCAAGCTGGCCAACAAGGTCATGCGAGACGGGATTGGATGACAAGCAATAAGGTGGATCACACCTCGGCGAACAAATGGCCAGAATTCTTGCGCTGAATCTGTTGATTGATAGGTTTGATGTAGCTGTGGAGTTCACGGCCTTTTGTACAGCAACAGCAAGCTGCCAGACAAGTATCGCCTTCCCTTTAGATGGGTTCTGTCTTTTCAAGCTTCGACCGGAGGCTCAGCAACTGTATCTTTCAGAAGCTTCATGCGCCAGCTCAAGCCTCTCACGAAGGCAAGCCTGCCACCCCAGCAGAACGTTTTTCAGGGATTCAATTGCAGCCCCAATTGCTGCATGCGGTGGCAATGTAGAATGTCTTTTTATCCTCCATACTGTGAAACGTGTCTTGCATTTGAGGCTGGACCTATTTGATGAGATAGCCGAAAAAAAACCAAGCTCAAAGTGGCTGGCATTCCTGAACATGTACAAGAGAGAAATGCTCAAGCGAGCAGCCTGTTGCCAATGTACCTAGACACTTTGAATCGTTGCAGCGTCCAAAGTGGCTGCGGCAAGACCGGATTGTTTCCGAGCAAAACGACCCTGAGCAACTCGGTAAAAAGTGTGACAACTGGGCCCATTTGGAGTACGTGGCGCCGTGGTGCTAGGTCAAGGTCGCGGCTCACAAACTTTAAACGGTCGACTGTTGTGGAGATGCGGAGTCGTCCTTCTGATTGCGTGTCGAGTTGTGCTGACAAATTGCTGGCCCAACGCGGTGTTTTTGTTGTAGTATGAGAACTATTCCCTTGTACGCCAATTGCCTCTACATGCCCCCTCCCCTCCGGCCATTCCCATCCCCTGCCCAACGCTTGCGCGATGCATCCACTTCAACTGACCAGTCAAAGGTCTGTACGGTGGGCTGAGCATCCCCAGGTTTGAGCCCCCCACGGTGGCCGCGCACTCTTCGGCCTAGCTTGGCCTGGCTTGGGCGAAGCACAAACTTTTGCTGGCGGACCTGTCCAAGCCCAACAAGCTTTACCTTAGTTGACACTAAACTGCTTGACATGTTGCCTTGTTTTGCAGCCCACAGGTCCAGGTGCAGAAGTGGGTTATCTGCTGCAAAGTAGAGGCATTGTTGAAATGATTTCTGTGTTTTGTTTCCACGTTCAATTTTGAATGTTTTTGCAGTTCTTCTGCCTGCTTTGGGTTATTTTTCTCCGTCTTCACCGCAATGTTGCCCAGTCATGCCACACCAACTTGCGATGCGGTGGGAGGACTGGAGGTAAGAATATGCCTCTTTCCGTGGGCATCTCCACATGAAAGAATTTATCCACCAAAACAGTAAAGCATTTGCCAAGTCGAGGGTACTCAAGGGCTGCTTCAACGGCCAAACCCGGGGACCCGGGCATGAATGGGCAAGCAAAAGTGCCCTAGGGCATTGTTTGAAAGACTCGCAGCCCATGCCCGCAAACTCCAGATTTTGCAAGCTGAAAGTTGGAGACAACCCACGGACACAGAAAGGAGGTCACAGGGTCAAGTCGATCAGCCAGCCTATTGGCTTTGTTCAACTATACAATTACAGTAATAGCGATGGCCTCCAACCTAATAGCATCTAATAGCAATGGCCTCCAACCTGCTAGCGATGGCCTCCAACCTAACAGATGTGCTTTTTCACGTGGGTGTATGATTATTCACAAAAGCTCGTTGCGTGCGGCTTTGTTCCAAGATGCCGTGCGATGGTGAATCTGGTGACAACGAAGATGATGTGTCGACGAAATGTTAGCCTCCCTCTAAGTGTTATATAGCTTTAAATTAAATTCTATTTATGTGTTGTTTCTACTAGCTTCTTGTTCCTAGTAGTAAGGCCCTTGTTCCTAGTAGCGATGCCAGGAGCCCCTAGTAGCGTCCTTGCTCCTGTTTGTGTGGGCAGAAGGCCGGGTGATTGAAATTTCATTTGCCCGCCTGATCACATTGCTGCATTCCCTGTTCGTGCGTATGGATTACATAGTATGTGTATATATATTATATATATATATATGCACACACCAAGTGTACAAAGGAACACGTTTCTTCAAGACGTGGCTGCTAGTTTTAGCATCAACTTGTTTTCTGCCAACGGTTTACGAGACTGTCACTTGCAAGGTAAGCCATGAGGTCAAGGTGTTCGCAGGGTTCGTTTTGAAGCCTTCCTAGTGAACAGGTCCGTCGACCACAGGTTGCATTTTGCCTTGCCACCTTACAAGCCGGAAGATGAGTCCGAGGTGTATCAACTCTGAATCCGGGGTCCCAACCCAACATTTCAGACCCCTCACAGACACTGCAGTTTGCCCACCTTGATTGCGCAGCGTACAGTTGTTTCGCGTTGTTCCGTTGTTTCATTTTCGCAACAAACCCAATGTCTTGAACAGCCAGATCTTTCAGGTTTGTCGTATTGTGGGCTTTGTTGAAGGGTTTTTATCAAGCTGAATTGCAACAACTTCAATTCAGACATGAGCACGCAGGTTCAAGATCAAAGTGCATGACTCACCAGAAAAGGTTCAGTGCAACAATACCTTTGTTGCAGTCGCGCCGTTCACTGCTTGTTGGCAAAGGTTCTCCATGCAGCTCCGATTGAGACCAACCCGAGCACCAAGCTCTGAATTCACATTTTTTACTCCTTATCCCCGTGCAATTTATTTGTTCATCCAGGAGGCCACTGACGCAAGTCTCGGGGGACAGAATCACGAAAGATGGTGGATAGTGCCAGCTGCCCATGTCAGCCACCCAGCTACACAACAATTGTAAAGGCTGCACGCCAAAGTCTGCACTCCAAGCATCACCAACAAGGTTGGAGGGTCTTCCGGGGTTGGTGTGTTTGTTGTTGGGCACCAGGTGGTACTTGATAGGGTGGCTGGTCGAACCCAAAGTGTGGTTTTCAGTGACTTTTACATTTGCCCTGCTGTGCACCTACAGGACAGACATGGTGGGAACACAGGAAGGAAATGAGATGGTATGAATATGAACAATTACGTCAGTCTGTCCTATCGTTACCTGCAGTGCACGCTGGCGCATGGAGGAACATTTTCTGGTGTGTTGGGGCAGGGTGGTGGAAGGCCAGCACACGGGCCTCTCCGCCCCACTACTGCCCGGTAATCGATGCCGCTGGTGCTAGTGATGTTCCTCAAGCAGCTGCCAGGGACATTAAGCTGATGCTGGTGATGCTTCTCCACAACGGTCCTCATCTTCGAACAAGGGTGGTTGACTCGAGACACCATGCCGGCCAAAGAGCGAACTGATCCGCTGCTGCTTGGTTGTGGAAGCCGCTTCCTTCATTCAGCTCCTCGAGCAAGACAAACCTCGGCCAACCTCCACCACGCCAGTGCTGGCCGGTGCGCACGCCTTCGCGCCTCTTCCCCCTCGCGGGCTCCTTCCTCGCCCTCAAGCCCGAGGCAAGGAAAACAACACGGCAGCCCTGACGCAGCTCTATGCAGCCCTCGTGCCTGTTGGTGCAGGGCCGGAGTCCCTCCTTTGACTCTGCCGGCGGCGCTTTGTCGGGAAGGCTGCGTTGCCATGAGCCTTGTGACCTCAGCTTGTTGGCGCCCACAATCAATGCGTGTCGCCTTGAGGTTGTCACGAATGGTCTTCTGGGCCAGCGGGGTCGCCCAACTGGACGAGGGCCGAGATCGAAAGCTCAAACAGAAGCTCGGCGTTTTTGACATATTGCTAGTGCGGTTGCTTCAGCATACAAGGGCTGCAAGCGGCTACTCAACTCAGACAATCTTAGGGCGCATCTAGGTGCCTGCAGCACACCTCCTTTGGTTTCGGAGTAAGATTTCTGAAGCCAGGGCGGGGCCTTCAAAAGGGTTTGCAAACCTTCCGAGCAAAAACTGTATGCACATTCACTCACTCAAACATGACGTTTTTCCCAATTGCCGGATGCTTGACAAAATTAAACACCCTGCAGTACGCCATCCATTTCGTGCAAACAAGCACTGTCCGCGGTATATGCGTCCAAACAATAGAACACCATTTGCATTTTCTGGCTTTCTACGCGCAACACCACGATATAAAGGCAACATGCCTTGATGCAGTGGCGCTTGCAACGAAAACTTGGGACCAAGAGGTCGTATGAATCCCCAGACCCCAGGTTCAAACTCCCGCTTGTTGGTTTGAAACGTCTAGTCTATGACAAACGTGCCTAAGCAACGTTGCTCTGACTCTAACCGTCATCAGCCCCCTGCCATCAAAGCCTGCTCCGGCGCTGATTCCGGGAAAGACTTGCAACTACTCTCACAATCTGAAAGACTGTAAGCAGCAGTTGGTAGGAGGGCGTGGAGCCAATGGAATCTGGTGCTTTTCCACCCTTCGCGTCCTTGTTACTAGTAGTAAGGCACTTGTTACTAGAAGCGATGCACTTGTTCCTAGTAGCGTCCTTGTTACTAGTTCTTTAGTCTGCAGGGCAGATTTCTTCCCGTTTTGTTTTGTAGCTTCCATCCTTCTGAGTTCGCTTGCCAAACTGGCGCCCCCATGTGACTCACCAAAACATTTCCCGGCAGACCCCAAACAGGTCTACAGATCTAGAGTTTGAGAGGTCTAGAGATCTAGAAGTCTACACGTTCGGAGGTTTAGAAGGATGTAGATGGTCGACAGGTCTACAGAAATCTACAGGCCTAGAGGTCCAGGAGAGTGAGATTATTTGGAGGTCTAGAGGTAGAGCTCTTGAGGCCCCGACAGGTCTTGAGATCAAGAAAGGCGAAGTCAACCGTTCTAAGATGCTTTAAGGGGTCTAGAAGCCTAAACAATTTGAGATCCAGAGAGGTGGAAGTGATAACGAGGGGGCTCCAGGTCTTCTAGCAGCGGCCTACAGGCCTCAAGGCGAACAGGTTGGATCTAGAGGCCTAGAAACATCCAGAGAGATCTAAAGGTCCAGAGGTCTAGAGATCAAAGTCTTGGCCGCAAATGAGCACATTGAGAACACGCCTCTGGGAGCACACATACAAGGCACAATTAGAACACGCGTGAAGGCACACACTTGCCGCGCCTGCCCCGGCACTTGACAGATTCACAAAAAGTGCGCTTGCGGTTTCCGCCTGTGACGAAAAGTGCGTTGCTAGGTTCCAAAAATGCTTCGCCCACGAAATGTTCGCTTCGAGGTACACAAAGTGATGTGCACGCCACGAATTCTGCCCTTCAAGGTTTGCAAAATGTCGCGTTTGCCACGAAATGTGCGCTTTGAGGTTCAAAAGAGCTGCACTTCAAAGTTCGCACACGCCCGGTCGGAGCGTGTTCAATACGTCTGGTCCAAATGTTCCAGGTCAGCTCAACGGTTGACTTTTCGCCCCCTCCGCATCCATGGCTCAGGTTCATGGTTTTGCATGTATGTACACCTCGTTTCACATTGGCTCTACTATTGTACAAGTTGACCAATCCCAAAAGACATTGGTATGGGTTGCGTTCTGCGGTTGTTGGTTCGTTTCAGTTTCCGGTCGAAATTTACAATGAGAATGGCCTTTGTTGCAGCCCTCCCAACTCATGACCTCCACCCAAACGATCAACATCATGCCATGCACCGTTGTGAGGTGTTTGTGCTTCAGCGTCCGACCAAAACACAAAAAAGACACGTGGATCTGGATATGGTGCAAATCCCTGTTGCACGCCATGGGTTTTTGCCACGCTCACCGGATCCATGGACTCATCCACCTGGCCTTCGTCAAATGCCTTGGCAAAGTGCTTCCACATGCCTCCACTACGCTCGCAAGCACCGTTCTGCTATGGCGTGGGCGTCCTTGTATTTTCCACGTGGATGTCATGACTAGTCCAAACCGCCGTCAATCTTAGTGCCACCATGGGTCGAGATGCATCGCAGGTTTCCGACCCATCGCTGCCAGTGCTTTCTGCAGTTTGTCCTGAGTTCTGGAGGCATTGCACTTCACTGGACCGCACGGGAACACAGAGTTGCAAACCACTCCCGTCATCAAAACAACTGAGAATTAGCCACATTGTGTTGGTAGATCGGAAATTTACTGTAGTGATTAGTGTGTATATCAGGTACAAATTGCTCACTGAACTCTTCGGCATCCTCTATTTCCGGGCCCTCTTGCAACTGTAGCTTACATCGTGTGCTACATGTGAGTCGTGCGGCACTCATACAACTTGGAAGGTCATGATCCCTCGCGCACTTCCTGTTGAGCGGATCGTCGCTTGGGTCTGCGAAGCCAGCGCCACACGTGGCCGTCGGATGGACCTCAGATGTGCCAGTCGCCGGTACTGGCCGATGGTCTCCGTTTATGGCAGACAGATGGCGACCTTGGTCAGCCCTCGCAGCCGCAACTGACAGGGGTATGCGAGGAGTAGCCCTTCACCATGCCACACTGCACGACCGTGACCGCACCCACTCCGAATTCGGGGAATCCCCGCGGTACCGGCTCATGACTTTTGGATTAGAGGTCGGGGGACGCTGGGGTGAGGATGCGGCCAAGTTTTTCCGCCGGCTCACGTACGTGCCCGCAGTGATCCAGCGCCACCCCGCTCGGCTGCGGTGACTGTCTGTCAGCAATGGTGGGCTGGGTTCATCGCCATTGTCTTGGTCGCTCCTCCTCGAACGTCCCTTTTCTGCGGAGGAGTTCCTGGGTGGCGGCGCGTCACCTTTCCACAACCGCCTGGCCCACGCAAGGTGGACAGACTCTCCTGCTGAGAGCCGCCCCTCTTGCGGGAACCCGCCGCCCCAACGCTGCTGGAAAAAGGTGCGCCAAGACAAAAACATAAAAAAAACCATTTCCAAAAAACAGGTACGGGCCTTGACAAAGCAAGACATGGCCCGGCAGTTGCATCTTCGAGCGTTTTAATTGAATGTTGCGAGCCGCTGTTTGAGATGATGTCGATGCAGGTGGGGAAAAACATAGCTTTGCAGATTGAGGTGCAGAAAACCAAAGTATACCCCTTAAGCCGCATCTTTGGGTTGGTGCCCAGTTGAGTTCGTTCAAAAGCCACCTCGCGGGAAAACATGCACTTTTGGAAAAGTGGGTTCTGTCAGCAAGTTCAAAACGGGTTTGGAGACATGCCGGCCTCAGTACTCGTCGGAAGCCTAAAATTTATAAGACATGTGTTGTTTTTAAGGTTCTTTATCGCCTTTTTCCCCTTTGGTCAAGACATACACAAATGGATGGTATCTTTTTTGATTCTGGTGTTTGCGCGCGGTCGTTAATTCTCTGGCGCGTTCCCCCCTTGGCAGGGGTCGGCGGGTATATCCACTTCTTCGGGGGCCACGCAGCAACGACGGGCAAGAGCAAGTAATGAACAGGTTCGTATTCGCGAGGCTTAGGTGGGAGGGCACGGGCGCCTTGCCAGCGGCAAGCATCAGGAGCGTCATCAAGGGCTTGGATGCCAGGAGGCTCAACACTCCTCGGTTCCACACCCACGTTTTGCTCTGATTGAGGTCGATGGACGTGAAGACCACAAGGTGGTGGGAGAGCCGGTCAGACAGAAGCCGGGGGGCCCGTGGGCTATCACCTCGACGCGCCGGTCGGACTGCGTGCAGTAATCTGCGTTTCGAGGTTCGCAAAAAACCGCCCTTGCCAGAATAGTAGAACTTTTGGCTTCGCATGCCGCACATGCTCTCTCTCGCCGAGGTTCATGCAGTGTGTCGCGTGCCACAAAATCTGCAATTCCAGTGCGCCTGCCACGAAATCTGCTGCATTTTTTGTAGCCCGGCCTCACCATCGACTCCTTGATTTCAGATTGCTATTTTTTGAGGATCGATGAGATCGGGAATGCTCTTTTCACAGAGGTGAATGCCCCATGAAAACAAGGTTCATTACTTTTGCCCGACTACCTATGCCATCCTAAGCCAATCACGTGATAGAAAGGATGACCGACAAGAGGGGCAAAACTTTTGAGAGGATTGAGTGGCATGCCCGCCTTGGCCACCCCGGGTGCAGGCGCGCAGCAGCCCAGGTGAGTAGAAAGGGCGGGCAAACCGCAGTTTCGGAACGCATAGAAACCAGGGAGAGGGCCTTACATGGGCAGGTCTGGTCGCCGCAATGGTTAAAAGCCAGGTCGGCGCAATGTTGCTGCGGAGGGTTTCAGGGCGGGCAAACGACACCATGTATTTCCACACCAAAAAGGGGCAAGCCGCAGCCAGCCAAAATGCCTAACGTCGCCTCGCACGTCGCCTGGCACGTCGCCTTCGGGAGCCCATAAAACAGTTGCCCGGCACGTGCCAGAGGCTCACTCCCAAGGCTCCCGGCAATCTGTGTCGCCACAGCTTTCCACCATCTAATTCCACACCAAAAAGGGGCGAGCCGCAGCCAGCCAAAATGCCTAACGTTGGCGTGGCCACTCCCAGACAAAGCCGCAGCTAGGCCCCGGAGCAGGCGTGCAGCAGCCGAGGTGAGTAGAAAGGGTGTCTATAGGCCGAGGGTTTGGAGTTTTTGAGGACATTGCCACCGAAGACGGAGTTTGAAATGTGATGAACAAACTTCGTGAATACTGTGCACCCCACCTTGAAGTGAGTCTTCCTAGGGCCTTTGAGAATGCAGTGTATGGTAAGCCACGGCAAGCAAGCGAATCGTTCGCGGAATACCTGGCACGCATGGAGAGATGCTGCCGCAGGTTGGCAAAGGAAGGTGTCGAACTGCCGTCCGGAGCCTCGGGATACATCCTGTATCGACCGGCTTCTCTGACGGAGTCGCAGGATCAAAGGTTATTGCCCTGGTGCGACGGCAGCTATGACAAGAACACCATAGTCAAGGCGATCCGGAAGCTCGATCGGGTTGTCAAAGAGAAAGGAAGCAAGGCCAACTATGTGATGGACGTTGAGGACGCTTTTGAGGACCGATGACGATGAGGACGGTGAGAAGTACGTCTACATCAGAAGGAGATCTCGACCAGATCATGGAACAAGAAGAAGTCAACCCCGCACTGGCCAGCTATCGTGAAGTACGAGAAGCTTTGACAAGCCAGAAAATGAATCGTGGATACTATCCAAAAGGGAAAGGCAATTGGTCAAACTCGAAAGGAAAAGGAAAAGGCAAGCAAAAGATCCATGTTGAACAACTTAGCCAGGCGCCCCCCAACCCCTCTTCGGTACCACCGAATCCGGCTTTCTGGTCGCTTTAGAGGTCGGAGAGAAGAAACCGCAGCCAGAAGGTAGTTTTCTTTCTCACAGCGATTCCCATGTTTTTGATGAACCGGAGTCGCACAGTTTTTGGCTTAGAAATTTCATTGAGGAGAGGCCCACCACACCTCGACAGTTCAGGGCCGGATGTGTGGGTTGGAGCCCAGTCCTTGCCACCAGCCAGCCAAGGGCTCACCATTGGGCCCCCCTGGGATCGCCCGCATTCACCAGCCAGCACCTCGACACAGTTCTAGCCAACCACCAGGATCTGCTCACCCGGCTAACCGGCCTCCAAGATCTCCAAGCCTCCTGGTTCCTTTTACTCTTTTGCGCCACATACTTGCTGCGCATGTTGCCACCTGACGCGACACAGAGCTTCGCCCACAACCACAACGCGGCGCTTGCCTCACCGAACTGCTCCAAACATCAGCGCTCACAGCTCCCAGCCTTGCGATTGCCCACTTGCCCTTGAGTGATGGAGGCCTAAGCTTGACAGCTGTTTCGGCACAGCTGCGCCGGCATATTGGGGGTCGTGGGCCGACACGTTGCCAATCCTTAGCCGCCCCGGCCATTGCTCCAGCACTTCCGCGCCAGCTCTCCAGCCCGAGGATGGCAACAATTTGCAGCTGCAGCCATGCATGCGACACACCGGGCCGAAGTCCGCAGCAATTTGCCACCAGCCACAGGCCCTGCTCGATTCGCAGAGCGGCCCGTATGCCAGCCGAGTTTTCACCGCCATTCCTTACGGCCCAGATCCCACCCACACCTCCGAAGCCTTTCGCCTGCTCATGCTCCGCAGGCTCCGCTTGCCATTGCCTTTGTCCGCACGGACTTGTCATTGCCGTCGCACTCTTGACCCTTTCGGCGACCATCAATCGGCCTGTGCCCAGTCAGGGCTCTTACGCAGCCGGGGCGGGCCGCTCGAACGGGCGGCAGCACGAATATGCCGAGAAGCAGGGGCCCGTGTGACATCCAACACACGGGTTGCCGATTTGAACATCCCCTCAGTTCACACCCTCGATGACCGTCGCATCGAAGTCGCCAACGGGCTGCCATTGTGGGGTGGTTGCCAGCTAGCTGTCGACACAACATTGGTGTTGCCCTTGACCCGGGACGGCCAACACAGACAGCGCCAAGGCCGATATGCTGGCGCAGCCTTGCGCGATGCTCGGCGCAACAAAGAGCGGGTCTACCCAGAACTGGTCAATGGCGGCCGCAGTCGCCTTGTTGTCCTTGTCATCTAGCTCGGCGGTAGATGGAGCGACGAGTCTTGCACCTTCCTCCGCCTATTGGCTCAACACCGGGCCCATCAAGCCACACCGCTGCTCTGACAAGCCGTGGCATCAGCCTTGCTCAGTCGCTGGTCAGCTATGCTTTCACATGCGGCTTTCACAGCATATGCAGCATCCCTCCAGGAGGCCGTGACCTACACCATCGACTCGACGGGCAACCTCCTCCTCAGGAATGTCCTGCCTGGGCCGCCGTGTTTGCTGGAGAAGTTGGCCTGACCCTTGCGGGGCCTCTTGGTGGGTGATATGTGGACCTGTGCCTTCATTTTGATGTCACCAAGCTCACCCCGGCCTCTTTCTGAAATGGAGGCACTGGAAACCGGGACGGCTCAGGCTTGAGCCGTCCACCCAACGACGCCTGGAGAGTGACCTCCGCCTCCACTGCGCTCGGCGGCCCATCGCCCACCTCACGCCCTTTGCCAATGACATACCGCACCTTCAGCCCATACAGGGGCCGGATACTTTTCAGGAATACCTTGACCTGCTTGGTGACACCCGATTCAGAACACTCCGTATCCACACCCATCCCCCTTGGCCAACTCCTCGCACAAGACGGCCTCGACCCTGTACATACTCCGTCTCACCCTGTACATAACCCGCTGTTTCACCTTGTGCGCTACTTTTCGTCTCGCCTCTGACTTACCATTGCAGGAAACAGCCTCCTCCCTCTGAAGCGTCGGACCCTTTAGAAGAGTACAAGGGCGCGCAGTCATGATGAAGAACCTGAAGGTGATCATTGACTTCTCCAACCACACCCTCACTCTGTTTGAAGAGAAAATAGTTGTCCCCATGCACGAACTACCTTCAGAGCATGTCGCCTTGGAAATCACCGAATTTGGGCCAGACGGGTTTCACGTGCAAGCAGGTCACGCTCCATTCAAAGTTGTATAATTTTTGAAAAGAAGTGTCAACCGATCAAAGCTGGCTCAGTCACCTGGCCGTGTGAAAGCTCAACTTACCCAGATCCTGGAGGGATCACACTCCGCACTTCCTGTCGAAACATCCTCGAACGCATGGGCAAGCTTGCGGCCGGCACAGAGAAATCGGAGGACCCAAACCATGCTAGCCCTGGAGTATGGCATCTTTGTCCTGCTATGGTCCGTGGATCAATAACAGCTCGTACAAGAATGGTTCCCAGACTCGTCTGCACGTTTGGGCCATCTATGCGGAAGAAGAAGAGACCATCGAGCATGTGTATTCCCTGGGATCGGTCAGAAGAGGCAGCATGCTCTGGCACTGGAACCAGCACACAGCCAGATGATTCGTCTGCAGGACCTCGAAAGGGCAGCAATTCCTGGAAGTGTGTGCAGAAAGAGTGCCAGTTCTTCGATTGGTGCCTCGGACACCAAGTCCCCCTCCAAAGGAGATGAACTTTTCGGTGGTGACTCTATCTCCGATGCAGGCACCGGATACAAGAAGGAGGAACAAGAGCCCAAGAACCACCAAGAGGAGCCATGCGATAGCAGATGTGCAGGTGATCGAAGACTAGAAGAAAGAAAAGAAGAAGGAACGGAGAATGAAGTGCACATCGAATCGGACGGAGCCAGAGGCAGAAGAACCCTGCGAAATCCAGAAGGATTAGGCTCACGACAGGCCGGAACAGGTTGAAGAATGAGAAACCCAAGCTGATCATCATATGCCCTCCGTGCCCTGCATTCACTCCCATACAAGACCTCAACTTCCCAAACGTGTCCTGGCAACCGGCAGTTATCTTGATTGCTGACGGATTGCATCACCTGGAGCTGGCAGCAAGGGTTGCTATGTGGCAACATCAAAGAGGAGCATATTTCCTGTTCGAACAACCCAAAAATGCCAGATCCTGGGAAGAAGCATTTGGGGCGAAAAATTTGACCAGTGCATGTATGGACTTCAAGTGGCATACGGTCTCAACAAGAAACCCACCAAGGTTCTGGTCAACTCGAAGTACATCGCAAAGCGGCTCAGAAAAACATGCGATAAAAGACACTTTCATGCTTCGACTATGAAGGGCCGACCTCGCAAGGCACAACAATATCTGAAAGAACTATGTGTGGAGATCATCAAGGGCCTCGAGGATCAAGTGAAAGCTGATCAGGGCCAATGGAACTTCATGGAGGAGGACGAGGCCATGGAAGAAGATGGAGAAGAAGTAGATGTCGGAGGCAATCAAGAAGATGATCATCTAAGAGGTGAGAAAGAAGGACAAGTGCAGGTAAACGAAGAAGACAAAAAGATGGTCAACAAGCTCCACGAAGGACTCGGGCATCCAGCTCTGCCGGAGTTTGTCAGATTCATGAAGGCTGCATGAGTCCGATCAG